GAAACAGACTGTCGCCGCTTAGTGTTGACTTCGGTTTTCCACTTTTATCTTTATATGCGCTCTATCTCAGATATTGAGCACTTTTACCCACGAATATAGCATACCGTAATTTTTATATTTTTATCATATATGATGAACATGGCAAACAGCGTAGGTCCAAGGATAGAGCCATGAGGTACTCCTGCATTAGTCCGAACAGTCTATTCAACACGACCTCATTACACGACTTGTTAGGAACGATTGGATTAAGCCCAATATTCGTCCCCTTAAGCTTGCCGTAAAGGCCAGCATACCAAACCCTGTCAAACGCTTTTGTGTTATATAAAGCTACAACCGAAGTTATGCCATTCTTATCAACAGCTTGATAGACAAATTTAGTGATGGTCGTTGACATGTGGCAAATAGACCTGGCGAAACGGAAGCCATATTTTTTGTTCGGGAAGAGGCCGTGTGAAGTAAGGTACTTTACCAATTCAGCTCAAGCCTCGAGTACTTTGCCAGAAAGAGATAAGACACTAATAAGGCGATAATTCGATGACACACTAGCATTCTTGAAAACAGGAACTACAGACAAGTACTTCTAATATGCTGGATAGCAAGAAGCAGCGAATCATTTGTTGTAAAGTTTGACGAGAACGGATGCCAACACAGGAGCACATTTCTGCACGGATCCGCATACCCTGTAAGGATCTGATTTGGAAATGATAACCGAAACTAATAACAGAGTTATGCGCATATCACTAAGTAGAGCTAAGGAGAAAATCTGGCAGAGATACTAAGTTGGGTTTGTAGTTGCAAGTGAACTTCCGGGCAAAACACCCTCTGCTTTATCTACAATAAATGTCTGAAGATTTGCTATTGTTCAGTCAGTAATCTTTACAACCAAACTTTTGAGAGGCTATAATATCTCATTCTGTCAGCAAATGGTGACTTTGCGTCCTCGAGGACACGCTTTTATTCATTACGAGCAATGACAAAGAGTCGTCTATTACAATAAGGCCTGTTGATCTGGTATAGCCAGAAGTGAATCCTACGGGCTATAGCGGATGAACAAGAGAGGTGATAAGATTATGGCTTTACTTGCTGTTTCCGTAATGGAACGAAAGCTTCCTTGCCGCCCAGGAAAAGACCTCAGTGGCACATTTCTCAACAGGATGACTAAAAAAATTAACATTCCAAGGAGCATCATAATGGAAATGACGAAACGAATCCGAATCAGTGCGTTGATAGCAAAAAGATTCCTGTCATCAGCATGGCTGATGCTAAACCCCCAGAGGATAAACACTCTACAACTCCTTGGGTTCATGTCTTATAGTGGTATGAAGTGAAGTGACTCTATTGAATCATTCCATATCTTACTTCTGCTAGGAAAGTTGGTTCACTGTATCGAACCAGAAAAATTTTCTCGTCAGAACCCATCGTGCATCTCTGTAAATTTACTATTCGTCTGTTCATTGATTAGTGCTATAATATTTGGTCTGGTGCTTCAGCTGTATATCACGAGATTCTGGCTTGACATCTCGACTTCAGTCACTTTCTCACCGACGTGACGTACACCCACCTCTGTCTTTTCTACAAATATTTTCATAGCAACTGTTCTGATGAGTTTTTTTTTCCCACGACTACATGAATTTAAGCGTGCTACTAGATTGGAAACTAGGTCTCACTGTTATACTACTGAACTAACTAGATGCAACCGCCACTTCTATTCTCGCACTTCTCGCTCGTAGAACTCCCTTCTGATTTCTTGCTTCCCTGTCAACTACAATCCTAAAAAAATGTAAATGCAATATCAATTGCTATCTGAATCCTGTTCATTTATGGTCCTTGCATCACTTCTCCTCACTAAAGTCGCCTCATTCTCTTTCACACCCTTTAACCCTCCAGCGTCTTAGTGGCATTATTACCTTACTTGGGACGAAATGATTATATATATATATATATATAGATATAGATATATATAGATATATATAGATATCTCTCTCTCTCTCTCTCTCTCTATATATATATATATATATATATATATATATATATATATATATATATATATATAACAGCAAAATAAATTATGTAGGTAATAATCCAAGTGGGTTCTACTAATATAAAAATATTAAAACTGACCCACAAAAAGAAATATCGATTTATTTTATTTATATAGACCAATAGATAAATAAACAAGCAAATCTTTTTACCTCATATAGGGAATAGATTTTTTGATAGATAGTAAAAGTGATAGTCTGCCTTCTCAACCTAGGTATAAAACTGAATTCATGTCGGTAGAATTTAAAGATGCAGGAAGTAAAATTTGACTATACAGGAAGTCATATTAGAGAGTGCCAATATAGAATTAAAATTTTACTTAAAATTTAAATTTTAGATTGACACTGTCCAATATTACTTCCTATATAGTTAAATTTTACTTCCTGCATCTTCAAATTCTACGGACATGAAATCCACTTCATATCGGGGTTGAGAAAACAAACCATCACTTTTAACATATACCGAAATACTCTATTCCCTATATGAGGTAAAAGAATTCTTGATTGTTTATATATATATATATATATATGTGTGTGTGTGTGTGTGTTTGCGTGCGCGCGCACGTGGTAACAGTCATGGAGTAGCTACCTAGTATAGTGCATGGCCCATTCTAGTACACCCACCACCGGTAAATTGTGAAGAGATGTGCCATGCCTTTTTGATAACTATACACTGCTCCCTGATATTTGTAGGTGCATAATCTAGGTAGCATAAATCAAGTGGTAAACATACAACATATCTCTAGAATGGCCTTCAAATCAATTCTGGACGAAAAACACTGCCTTATTCGATTGGAATAACACATTATTGTCGGGGGATGTAGGATCTATGAAGAAATTCAAATTAAAGCAGTGACACATAACGGTCGACCGTCAAGGACATGTTTAGTTAAACCAACAGCTCCAACCATAACACTCCACACCATAATGAAACCGCCATCAATCTTCATGGTATTTTGCTTAGGGCGGGAACTCATCGCCTCATGGGATCCACACCACACCAAACCCTGAAACCACACCCCACACTGCCAGATTCGGATTTAATTAGACGTTATATCCAAAATTGTGATGTTAACAGAGGTGTCGTTGTACGTCTTTTTGGTCCCATAGTCTAATGAACGTTGACCTGATCTATTTTATACGCTTCTGCCGCCCCCAGCATTGAATGTGGTGACTCGATGCAATGTCACTTGCCTGTTACTTCGGAAAATTGTAACCTGACGCCTTTGGTGATGATCATTAAGAAACTATGATTGGTTACTACATGTTCCCACTGATCTTTCCGTCTGGCATTTCTCGGTACTTACATATCATCTCTGAATATTTATGCCCCACCTTCATGCCCAGTTCGAACTTTAATATTTCACATCGCCTTGGCTTCTCGAAGGCAATTCGACATTAATCCGTCCTCTCCTAAGAAAATTCGATGATAGTTTAAACAGTTTCAAGAGAATGGGTGAAGGAAACAGTCCAGGACGACCACGAGTTTCGGAGGAACAAATGGCGAGAATCCGTCCTGCTTTCGAGAAGAGACCTCAAACCGAGCGAGCCGTGAAATTGCGATCTCTCAATCCACTTACGTATGCTAAGAAGACGTCTACATTTTAAACCTTACAGACTTTGCCTTATCCAGGTACTTACCAAAGCCTTGCTCTTTGTGCTTGGCTTGCGAGATCCCCAAACCACACAGTGTGTGATTTTTTATTGTGAGGATGCGTAAAAGATCGCGTTTATGTTCTACCGCTTCCCACTAACCTCGATGACCTTAAACATCGAATAACAACAGCGACCAACTAAGTGGATCGTGATATGCTGATATGAATCTGGGAGGAATTCTCTTATCGCATTGATGTTGCCCGTGCTGCAGGTGATGGCCACATTGTACACTTGTAAGACAGGAATTAAAAGTTGATTGTGAGAAAAATACTTGTGACGATTTTCTATTGCTTTTTCTTATTAAAATATTTGGTAATAAAATCGCTTCATTCTTTTTAATAAACCTTTATATATCTACAGATCAAGGACCACAAATTATAAAGTTAATGGAAATTACATTTGTTGAAAATTAAAAGGATAACATTATAGGATGTGCAACCATTTAGTCTCAAACATGAAGCAAAAATGCCAAGAGCAGCCCTAGAGTATATGCTGAAGGCACTGTTTAATACAAAGTTGATGATAACGCGTTGAATCTTCTCAGTGATGGCTACCCTCAATGCAGCAATGGTGCAAGGGTTGCCCTGGAAGATGTTTTCCCCCGAGGAACCCTCAGAGGAAGAAATCGGGGGTGGAAGGTTTCAGATCAGGCTAGTGAGGCCTATTCCACTTCAGCTTTGCGGCTGATGAGACGCTCCCCAAATTTCACATACCATGATGACATCGGCAGTGTGAATAGGAGTACCATCCTGCTGGTAGCACTGTTCCTCCTCCTCATCAAGGTCCTAACGCTCCTCGATTTCTCCCTATCTGGGAAGCCGCTGCTTTGTTTCAACAATTATGAAACACCCTGTATGTGGAGAGAGAGAGAAAGAGAGCGAGAGAGAGGAAGAAGGAGATGTATCAAGGTTTTATATAAAAAGGACCCAATATTTTAGTCATAATTTGAACAATTATATATAATTGTCATACGTCGTAAATGTCTTGAAATGGAGCTCCTAGCATTTCTCAATTATATCTTTGTTCTTTTTATAGTTTTATTGCAAACATTTTTATTTTATCTTTTGTAATCCCCCCCTCTGTGTGTGTGTGTGTGTGTGTGTGTGTGTGTGTGTGTGTGTGTGTGTGTGTGTGTGTGTCTCGCTCTCTCTCTCTCTCTTTCTCTTGTTACCTGTCTTTCCCCTTTCATACCTTCGGTATCTCTCGGTTTCTTTCTCTTTCTCTATGTTTTCCTTCTTGCTCACAGCCAATCTTTTTTTCTAATTTTTCTTATCCTCTTTTTCCCCATTTCCATCCCATTATCAGTCTTTTCTCTTTCTCTCTCTTTCTCTCTCTCTCTTTCTCTCTTTCTCTCTCTCTCTTTCTTTCTCTCTCCTTGGGTTTCTTTTTCTCACCTTGATATTACTTCTCTCCTACATTATGTCAACGAAGACTTATCAATTACTCCAGCTTATCTTTTGGAAGACTATCCCCATTTATTTGATATCCACTTCTTCCTCCTTCTCCCTCCTCCCTATTCTTTCCGATTTCATCTGATTCCTTTAAATCTTTTCATCATTTCGGTTCTTCCTTCCATTTTTTAGTCCATAACGTTGTTTCTTTTACTTTACACCTTTGTTCTTTTCTTTCTGTTCATTATTATTACTTTCTTTTCTTTCTCTGTTTTCTTCTTTTTCGTGTCGTCATCGTCCTTTCCTCCTCCTACTTCTTTTTTTATCAATTGTTCCTCTAGCTTTTTTTACTTTTCTATTCTTCCTTGTCGTCTTCGTCCTCTTCTTATCTCTTGCCAATTCGGGATTCAACTTCTTTTCCCTTTTCTTCTTCTTTAACGTCCTTGCCGCTTCATTTTCCTACATTTCTTCTGATTTCTCTTTATTAATCGTCACTTTTCTCATCAGATATTTTTGCATTTTCTCTTTTTTAAAATTACTTTTAAGTCCTAAACATTATCTCGAAGTTATTTTCTTCTACGCTTCCTTTATTCGTTTTTTCCCTTTCTCTCTCTCTCTCTCTCTTTCTCTCTCTCTCTCTCTCTCTCTAATACACTTGCTCTCTCTTTCTTTCTATCTCTCTCTGATCAAGTGATCTTCTGTCTTGCCTTTTACTGTATCCATTAACCTTTCTTTATCTCTTTTATTGCTCTTCCATCTCTTTCTCCCTCTCATTCTCGCTGTTTCCCTTCCTACTATGTCCTTTCTTCCTTAAACTTACCTTATCTCACTTTGTTTTTTGTTTTCTGTTCTTTCCTTTCACTTAATCTTCATTATTTCGTTTTTTCCTGCTTTTCTTTGTTCCCCCCGCTTCTTCCTAACTTTTCGCTTGGCCAATTCGACATCTGTTTACTTGTTTTCAGCTTTTTTCCGTGCCTACAGCCGAAGTGCATATTGCAATTTCATGATCGAGACATCTTCTTCTTCTCTTCCTCTTTGAGGGAATGTAAAAGATGCTTCAGGCATAATCTTCCTAAAGAAAAAAGAAAAATCCCTTTTCTCCTTGCTTCTCATCCTTCAAATTCTGCGAATGTATTCTCCTTTCTTTACGGTTCCCCAGTTTGTCTCCTGTAGAACACATTTCAAAAGAAGCATCTATCTGTCTGTTCACATCTATCTCAGTTTATCCATGTCTAACTCTCTTTCTATCCCTCAGTCACACACATATATATATATATATATATATATATATATATATATATATATATATATATATATATATATACTAGCAGCATGGCCCAGTGTTGCCCGTGCTTGATTCTAAAATCGTACTACTCATACAGCAATCGCTATCACTTGACTTAAAATATTTTTGCCCTTCCTTGCCTTTAAAGGAGTGCCCTTTGCCGTGCTGATGTTGCTACATGCCTTACTTCTTGCCTATCTAACACTGCGAATTTTTTCTAAGCTCTATACTAAACATTAAATCAGTTACGAAAAAAGAACTAAAAAAATGAACACAAAATGATCAGCTTTAAAAAAAGACTCGTAACTGGAAAAACCGAATGAAAAATGAATGTTAACAACAAATACTTTTTCACATCCAACCCAGTTCTGCGGAATCAGAATCAACATTGAGTTTAAGCAAGCGAATGAGCCAATTGGAGTAAAGTGCCATGCAGATTTAAATTTTTCCCATTTGTGACGAAAGCAGCTATCGATTATTTTTTTTCTGCATGCTAGCATGCTAGTTAACATTCGTGTCAGTCAGCTGTTGGCTCTCACGCTGGTCAATAGAATATTCCTGCCTATTCGTGTCAGTCAGCTGTTGGCACTCAATCTGGCCAGTAGAAAATGGCCGAAAACTACATGAAAACTGCCGTAAAAGCATGAAAAAATCGATTATTTCCACTATCGATGGGAGTTGGGGAATGCAAAGCCAACCTTGGCCTTCCCGCTAACTTGGGGCATGTGCATGTAAATTTTTGTGCAAATCCGTCGAAAATTGCGGTCGTGCATTCGTTACACACACAAACACATCCTGCCTTATATATATATATATATATATATATATATATATAAAGGAAAAAAGGCAATAGGAAAACTGTAGTATTAGCCGACGTGTTTCGTCCAATGTGGACATTTTTCAATGCAAAAAAGAAACAAATAAATTGAACAAAGTATCTATAAACAATAAACAAAATGTCGTTAGCAACTAGAAAAATTTAGAAACGCTATTTCTTTGTTTGAAGAAAATATAAGTAGAAATATAAGTACAATGTATAATATACAATAGCCAGGTGATTAGCATAATTTGGACGTGCAGATTTGCCACCATTCAATCTTGGGTCACCCCAGATGTGTGAGCATGCGCAGAGTTCTGCCAAAACATATACGGCCTTCCATCGTATACAAGGTCTATCTCGTGCTTTCCTTACCTCCATTTATCCAGCAGAGTTCAGCAAACGACACTGTTGTAAGAAGAAGGGGAACAGAAGGAAGGCAAGGGTATTATAAAAGTATCGATGGGGGAGTTAATTTTTTTGTTGTTGTTGTTAAAAGCTCTGCATGTTATTTTTACTTTTATTATTATTATTTCACACATGTAGTGAGCACTTTGTAATACCACTGTTTCATGATCTGATTCAACTCTGATCATAACCTTTTATGTATCATATATATATATATATATATATATATATATATATATATATATATATATTATTACTCGTCATATCTATTAATCAATTTATTTCAGTCTCTTCTTATACATTTTTTTCTACCTATTTACCGCTCTATTGATAACAGTCAGTCTTAATCTTCTCATAACATATCGTCAGTATGTCAGTCTATGTATGGACAAGTGTCAATAGTCTAGCAAAAAACAAAGCGAAAATAGGAATAATAATAATAATAATAATAATAATAATAATAATAATAATAATAATAATATTGTGTCTCTGTCAGCCTATCATGCCAGAAAAGCACCATTTAAAATTTTGCTTTATTTTCTCACTTCGTTTACAAACCTTTGACACTGTAGACAAATATGTAATGATTTCTAAACTCAGAAACTATTGCTAATGATTTCTATTCTTGGTTGGAGCCTTAGTGTTATAACTTTGTCCCAGAATAGCTTAATGACAATAAATATCTAATGTTTTAAGGCAATGTTTTCTTCTCTTGGCGACAGGTAAAAGAAAGAAAGAAAAGAGAAAAGAAAAGCAAAGAAACGAAAACAAGAGAAACAGGAAAGAAAGAAACAATAAAAAAATAAAATAGTGAAGACGGATAGCTGAAACGAAATATTCCTCCGGAAAAAATGACCTGATTTCTGATCATTAAATCAATAATTTTTCTCTTCTTAATTTGATTGATTTTATTATTATTTATTATTATTGATTTTATTACTGCTTTAGTCAAAATCTTTTTTCGCTCTTTCTTTCCTTCTATAATTTTGGCATTTTTGTTTGTTTGTTTTTTCTCTCTCAATTCGACAGCACAGTTTTGTTCGATGTTTGGAATGACGCGCTATACAAAGCCACAATTCGGTGAAATAATTTTCAAATGATTATTTGATTTATTTCGAAGTTTCGCTACGTCATTTTTTTCTCGTTTCAATTTTCACTACTTAATTATTTATCGAAAACTATACATTTCGTATTGGACTGTGGAGAAAAGTTCTCCTGAAGACAGTTTACAACGGTAAAAGATGGAGATGTCATACCTGCAATTTTAGTAG